CACGACGAACCCTTTTCAATAATTTTTATTTAATTGTAGTTTTTGTAGGTTAAAAAATGGGTTTTATGCAATTTCTTTATTGCATATTGGATAATTACTAGTACTTACCATCACAAAATTAATTAGTGACCATTTTTAAAATTTATGGCATGAAAAGTATATTGTGCTGGGAAAGGTTAATTGAACTTAGTACGACAATCTCCATATTAAAGGGATGATTGTGGGACTTGAACTTTGTGAGGTAAATTGTTCAGAAAAATCCGGGCAACATTTTTGTTCACAGGGGCGAACTTGTCAGGGTTTATTTTGGTGGTAAATTTTGAAAAAATCAGTTTTAATTCAATTTTGCGCTTGGAAAATATCATGCAATTTTCTCGAAAAATGTTAACACCCCCACAAAAATTAATTGTGAAAAATTTGTTTGTTTAGAAAAAAAATAGTTAGGTTATAGTTTAAATTTACGAAATCTAGGGGTCATCATTCCTCACAACATTTTGATCCACATCCCATATTTTATTTAAAAATTCTTTTGCTATATTATTGCAGAAAAACTATTCACAATAAGAAAATGCAAAAAAATAATTTGTTTGTTAATTTTTTCACACATCTAGTAGAAAGTCAATTTATTGGTAAAATTTGAAAAAAAATCAAAATGGTGTATAGTAAAAAGTATGTAAGGTATATTTAAATAATAATTTAACAATTAATTTAATAACTGTATTGCAAAATTTATGGAAGCCAAGGTCTTCTTACATTTAATATGCAACTGCTTTAAATAAAAAAATATATTTCTGCCCCTTTTTATTATCCTTATAATTTTAATGTTTTAAAGATGCAGCAAAATTTTTTAATTTTCGAAAATTAATTGCCATTTTAATACATGAAAAATATCCGCATTTTCGTAAAGTTATAAAAGTATAATGACCTTGATTCATGCAGTTTGCATTCTATTTACTTTCATTAATAACTTCGAATATAAATGATGTAAAATTGAAATAATAGTATATAAATTATATTTTATAAACGGCATTTAGGCGAGTGTTAAATCCGATATAAAAGCAGTTTTTCACAGCGAAAGTGAAGAGAATGTTTTTCAAACAAGAGTTGTCTTATAAGAAATCTAAAATGTAGTTATATTATAACTTATAAGTCCTATATGATATAAGGCAACTATATATTAAACTATTAGAATATTACCAGTGATGGGTCAAGAAAGTTTCTTAAAGAAACTAAGAAAATTGAATGTTTAAATTAATGTTTAGCCCGGTTGGGTTAATTCTAGATTCCTTTAGGCCATATTAGTATCTGTGATACAATTGCTGTGTGCAGTCCCGGTTGCATAGTATGTACCGATTGCGGCAAAGGCCACGTCGTTTGACGGTGTGGATCACCTGATGTTCTTACATCTCGCCTCTGTTGACTTAACAACCGAGCATATAAGCTTAGGGAGTAATTTGTTTTGATTGTGTTCCACTACACCAAATTGCCCGACACTGATGAGACCCAATAAAGGTCGAAACAGCTGTCTGTCGGTATTTGAAGTTGGTGGAACGCATTCAAAACAAAAAACTTTGGCGAGGTGTAGGTTCAATTTTTTCTTATGAATATTACCAGTGATGGGTCAAGAAAGTTTCTTAAAGAAACTAAGAAAATTGAATGTTTATATATTAGACTTCTTATAAGAAAACTTTTGATTTTCTCCTGAACTAAGGAAGTATAAAATCTTATTAATTAACATATCCTTTTCGGTAAATATACGTACATATGTAATTAAATTTAAGTCGAACAGAATTTAGTATTCAGTGAAAGTAATATGTATAAATGGGTTATAAAATGTTTAACGTAATATTGCAAAGAAAACAAAAAACGAAACAGAACGAAGTAGGCTAAAGAAAAATAGCATTTTAGAAGTGAAAAATATTTTTGAACAATAATTATAAATTTTCTAATATTTTAGATATCGATTAATGACTGATTATTGTCACATTTATTGGACCAAAACAAGTTTTCCTATTTTTAAGAAACTTTTAATACAACGTTATGGTGTAGGTACAAGATATATAATTACGCACTTATTAGCAACAAATGTTTGATGGTTATAGGAGTTACTTTACACACATAAACAAACCTAACAATAAAAACGGTTTAATTTAGTTTTAATTACAAACAGTTTTGTTTAAAATGTATGTAAAAAACTTTCGCTGAAATTAGCAAAACAACTTTTTAATAAATGTAGGTATAAATAGCAGATACTATATAAATAGTTAAAATTCTGAATTATTATTTTTTCGTAAATACCACGAATAATAATTTAATTAAACTTTTACTTATCCAATTAAATTGTATTTTTAATACTTTCAAAATATTTTATGTTTTATAAAACCTAACTGTATTGGTTTGGTGTAAAATATTAAATAAAGTATTACGATTTGAATAAAATATATTTCGTTTATCTATATTTACAAAATTAATAGATAGTTAGTTGATCATAATATTAATTAATATTTTATCCCAGGAAGTTCTTAATTAACAGTATAGGACGATATTTTATGTGCAGCAAAAATTAAATCACACGGAACCAAATCTGTTAGAAACTTGAGGAAATCAAAATCAGATTAATAAATATGTTTTGCTTGTATAATTTCAAATTCATATAAGAATTGTTATGTTGTTCACATTATTGTAATTTTGATAAATATTTATACCAAAACTTATGCAATTATTAAAAGCATGTTAAGTCCTGTTTAAATGTCAACCAAAAGTGAAATTCAAAATTAGAAATTTTATATTAAAAATATATTAGGTATACTTATCAAAAATATATGCATAGGTTAACATCAGGAAATTAGGAAAAAATTTTAAAGTTAAAAATTAAATTATTGGCAATATAAAACAAATTGCCAATTGTTAAAATCCAATGGCGTAGATACAGGGAGGTTGTTACACTTTTCTCGCCCTAATTTTTACGCCACTGGATATTAAAAAAAAAATTAAATTCCCTTTTTAATTTAGAAAAAAAGTATCTCTTGTAAAACTTTGATTTACGAGATAAATAGAGTTTAAAGTATATAGAATACTTATGAAAATAACCAACAAATAAAAACATGAAAATAATCGCTTGGTTTTGGAATGCTATGACAATTAATTGTCAGTACAGTTAAGGCCATTTTCCAAAATGTCCAAATATGTTAAATTTAAAAGAAATATAATTTAATGTAAACATGACTAAATCTTACCTAATACAGGAAAATTATAATAAAGAAAGTGAATCTGGAGAAATTTGTTCTCTTATAAGACAGAAAATGTTTATATTTGTAGTATCTAGTAAAAAAATATTCGAGGAAAACAAATGTTCATAAAATTATGTTATTTAATCTTTTTTTAATTTATATTTATGTGAAAACGTTATTTATATTCTCTAATTTGTTCACAAATGATATTGTTATATTGAAAGTGAAATCAAAATCAGTCTATTGCTTGGTTAAGTTTGATTGTCAAGAATCTAACAATGTTTCAATTTATTTATTTATTTATAATACTAAAAATTAACAATATTTCATTGGGATTATAATATAAAAAATATAAAACAGATTTTTGCCAAGAACAAATTGAAAATCTCTTTTAATTGACATCGTAATCGTATCGAAATTTTAAGTGGACTGATTTTAAGATTATTTATTACTCCTTTCAAAAACCTTCTAGAGGAAAATTGTGGTTGATATTAAGTATTACAAAAACTACTTGGATTAATTTTTTTTAATTATCAATACTCGATGGGGTTTAATTGAATTAAATGGTTGGAAAAAACAAACCACACCCGAAAAGTTAACTAGATGACCTAGAAATAACAATGTTGTTATGTAAAAATAAGTTTTAAATAATTTTATGACAGTTTTACATATTACCTTTTAAGGAATTAATGCCAATTTAGATCCTACAGGGGGTTAAAATTGTTGGGATCATTTGTTATATCCGTACCGCAGAATGAATGTAGGTATTTAAAATATCTTCTGAACATGGTATAATTGTTCTAGTTGGTGATGAAAACAAGTGCCTTGGAATTGACAATGTATACCGTTTCCTATATCGTTTCCTCAGTTTTATTGATTATTTGAACTTAACTCATGTCAAGTTTATTTTTATTTATTTTTGATGAATTTTCAGAAAGTAATAATTGTCAGACTTTGGGTAAAGATGTTTAAACACTTACATTGATTTACTGGGTGATTATTCTGTTTATCGTGTGATTTAAAAGGTGAAAGTTCTAACAATTATGATAAGTGATGGTACATGAGTCTTCCTTATTGAACTAAAAGCTCCCCATATTTTTATGTCTTTATTTGTATATCTACAAACTTCATGTAGGCAAATATGTATGAATGTATGTAGGTACTGATTATTGAAAATTATTGTAAGTAATTTCTCATGTAGGTTTTTAAAGAAATGTTAATATTTATGAATGGACAAAGGCGTGGTATATAATTATAAATATTAAACGTTAATAAATACAATACAATACCTAAGGTTTTATACAAGACTATTGAAAAATATATTAAAATCAGTGTTATAGTGTTATAAAACTATGTTTATTTAAAGAACCTTAAGGATAATAAGGATAAAAAAATTATGCAAAAAATATATAAAGAACATTAATTTTAAACAAAACATAATTAAATTAATTTAAATAAATAATTAAGAATCTTCCCCATTAACCTTATAGATAAGGAGATCTCTAGATAATCAAATTTGGGTTACTAAATGTCATTTAAAGTTTGCGAGGACATCAAAAAATATTTTTAAATGTTATTTTTTATTTCCTAATTAATAAAAACTGATATTTTATTTGCTTAGAGTTTGATTTAATTTATTTAAATAAAATTCAATAAATGTCAAGAATATTATTTAATAATTAAGTAATAAACATGCATTTTATTTAGTCTCCATAAAACAGCAATTTTTTAGGAATAATTCATTTAATTCGTTTAAAAAAAATAACTCACTGTTGGTGCTCTCCTTTGGGCGCTGACACTGAGGAAGAATAAGAGAAAAATAAAAAGTAAAGATGGCTTCATGTTGCACTAATTCATAAAAATTTGGTTTATTCACTAAATATCACTTAATACACTAATGGTACTCTACAAGAAATAGGACCCTGAAACAAAAAATATACATAAAAATATTGACTAATAAAAATTAATTTAAAACAAATTAAATGTTTGTTGTTTTATTTAAAAATTACTCATCAAGATTTTCATTACATAAAATTATACCAAAATGTATAAACAAGTCAATCATCAAAATCAATTTCCCATTTGTTATAATTTAGAATAGAAGATCCTATCACCGATTTTGAAACATTAAGCATTTAATTGTTATGAAATAAAAGAACACAATAATTATTACTATTAAACACCCAGTACCTGTGTATTACTTTTCATTAAAATAAAGGTGTACAAAGGCATTATTTCTAGATTTTTTTTATCTGGAGATGCAGAACCCGGATATTTCAAATAATAAAATAAAGTAACCTTTACATTTAAGTTTCCGAATTTTAATATTTCTTTATATCATTTAATGTGGGTTAGCAAAATTACCTTGAAATTAAATAAAATTTAAATTATGAATGTCATCCTAATTTTAAAATATAAATGCAATATTAAAAAGCTTATTTTTTAAGTTTAAACCTATTATGATTAATGCTTTTATCAATCTAGATCACCTTGAATAGGTTATGTTCTAATTTGATTAATGTAATAGATTGTGATTTTATATTGGAAATTTAGTATTGTTTATTGTTATCTATCGGTACAAATATTATTAACAATAATTAAATATGTGTACTGGTACTAGTTAAATTATTAATATTTTAATTAGACTAATATTACTATTTAAAAAACAATTATTTTTTTTATAATTATTGACCTTAATTTGTGAACACTCTGTATAAGCTAGCTAATGACGTAATGTCTCAAAACTTTGCTAGAAATTATAGTGCTGAAAAAAATTAATCATACAGCATTTGTATTGTTATAAATAAATGCCAAAATTTTGTTGAAAATTTTTTGCAAAATATAATAAATCCAATAAAATTAACCAATTAACCACTGTGAAACAAGGTGTTTCTAGACGACCTTTTATTAAATATTGCTTTAGGTTTTAATTAGTAGAATAAATTTAATAGTTTTTATACAATTATGTTAATTACTTTACCAGAGTTGCTGTTTGAACGTGCCTCATTTGTTAAAATGCAGTATAAATATATCTTATATTATAATAATTATTAGGATTAAAGATTGACTTTTATTAAATTTATAAATTTAATTATTTAAGATATTAGGATAAACAAATTGTAGATCTTTTCGAGCCCATTTTTTTTTTTAATTATTGGCCCTTTTTGTTTTTACATAAATATTTTTATGCACGATGACATTATAATATGACAATTATAACAAAAATTCTTTGACGTAAACGTCTTTTTATAGCCCGCGGGCGTTATTATGGCCCAGCGGGCTATAATGAAACGTCAAAAATTAAAAACATCAATGTTACACCATTTGATATATTCGAAGTAAGTTTTTTCGTATAAAGATTTTGATTTTTCCGGCAGCAGGCCGCAATTTTTTGCCTTTTCAGCTGCTTCCTCAATTTCATTCATTTTTAAACTTTAAAACTGACTGATGTCAGTTGACATTATAATATGACAATTATAACCAAAAATCTTTGACGTAAACGTCTTTAAAAACAATAATATATTAATATATATAAATATATATATTAATATATATAAAGTTTTGTATGCATTGCTGGCATAACTGGTTTTTATGGTCCTACGACGCTTTTCTAGCCCTCGCGCTAACGCGCTCGGGCTCGAAATAGCGCCTCGGACCATAAAAACCTTATTATGCCCTTAATACATAAATAACTATTATGCACGATGACATTATAATATGACAATTATAACAAAAATTCTTTGACGTAAACGTCTTTTTATAGCCCGCGGGCGTTATTATGACCCAGCGGGCTATAATGAAACGTCAAAAATTAAAAACAATAGGCGCAAAACTATTCTTCCTTATGTTACACTATTTGATATATTCGAAGTAAGTTTTTTCGTATAAAGATTTTGATTTTTCCGGTAGCAGGCCGCAATTTTTCGCCTTTTCAGCTGCTTCCTCAATTTCATTCATCTTTAAACTTTAAAACTGACTGATGTCAATAATATTTATGCACAATGACATTATAATATGACAATTATAACAAAAATTCTTTGACGTAAACGTCTTTAAAAACAATAATATATTAATCGTGCATAAAGTTTTGTATGCATTGCTGGCATAACTGGTTTTTATGGTCCTACGACGCTTTTCTAGCCCTCGCGCTGACGCGCTCGGGCTCGAAATAGCGCCTCGGACCATAAAAACCTTATTATGCCCTTAATACATAACTATTATAATAGTGATATATCACCGTTATTTATGGCCTGCTCTCCTTGGTAACGCCCATGCTATTGAAACAGTGCATTAAATAAAATAATTATTGTGAGACTACTAAATAGGAGTAAAAGCCAGACAAATAATGTATTATAGGTAATAATAATTATGTATGTATACAAAAATTTTATAATATTTAATATTTATAGTAAACAATTTCTTTGAATTTCTAAAATGCCATTTTCAAAAGAACTAGCCAAGCATACTATGTATAATAATAAAAATTACTTATTATAATTAGGTGAATCAAATTTTAAATTTAATTCGGTTTAAAAAATAAAAATATTAACAATAAAAATTGCGTCATTTTTTAACGCTTGTTATAGGTAGTATTTTTTGGGTATTTCACATTAATTAACAGGGCTACCAATGGTGCGTATCGCGATGTTTTAAATCCAGATAAGTGTTTGAAAATATTTTCCCCAATGTTAACAATAAGATACACTATATCCCCGAATAAATAAACTAGATCCTGAAAAAATAATGTTCGTATTGAGATTTTGTCTTTTATTAGGAAAAACTTTTTTTTACAAATGTTTCCAAAATAAATAAAAATATATTAATCGATTTAATGTTTTCCTAATTTTTTATTTTGTTTTAAATCACAAATATTTTTATGTCAAAAGAATACCAATATAAATTACCTCTTGTAAACTTTATCGGTGTACATACTGTATATTTTTTAATATACCTATTATAATCTAATTTTATTATAATGATAAAACAGTAGCTCTCAATAATTTCCTTAGCATAAAAAAGAAAGTTCTATATTTAAAAATATTACAATTTATTTCGGTTATAATATGCTATAAATTACTATAATATTATAATGAAAATTTTCTCTAATTATAGTCAAATAAAAGGTGCAGTTTTTTCATGGTTTTTAAATAAACCGACAAATTTTCACGAATTCTGACAAATGTTAAAATTGTCAGCCCAACTGGGGTTTTAAAATTTCCGGAAAAATTGAGCCGGTGGAAAAAACGAAAAAATTGGGAAATTTTTAGAAAAATGGACTTTAGCATTTTTTCCAATTAGGTGCCTTTTGAATTTTGAATTTTGCATTTTTTCATTTTATTCAAAGGGCACCTAATACGAAAAAAATGAAGTTTTTGTTTTATGAAATTTTTTAAATATCTGTACACTGGTGTAAAAAAAAGTGAATTTTCGACTCTGATTATAATCATATACATGATTATAATAATTATTTAAATTACTATAATTCAGTAAGAATCTTCTACCGGGTCGCAAAAAAAACAAATTTGGTGCTGTATGAACATAATTATAACTATCGTTTTATTTAACACATAATTTTGTAATTTAACTTATTAAATCATTTTTTATTTTGTAAATGGATACTTTTTGCAAAAAGCACCCAACCGACAGTATTTTTAACGTTTACGTTTATGTTCTTAATTCAATTCACTTCAATTTATTGTACCTATAGTTTTATTTGTTGTTTTTTTTTAAATTAATTTAACGTTGAGTTGTTGATTGCTTTGTATATTTTCAGAAAAAGAGATTTTTTCCCAAAAAAGCCATTTTTCCAAGGTCTTTAAAAAAAAAACGAAAAACCCTAAGCCAAACTACAATGTAACAATTAAAAATTTCCTAAAAATGGCTCAATAAATTTATTGCATTTTTAACATTTTATATTTTAAGTTTTCAAAACTTATAAACATATTCTTAGCCTCACATAATTCAGTATAACATAACCACAATTATATTCTCCACTAAACTATTTTTAAAGTATAAATATTAGACTGGGCCAAAAAAAATCAACTATTTTTTTTTGAAAAGTGTATCGAAAATATGGTTTGAGGTGACAAAAAAAAATAGTGAAAGTTTGAGTCCATAATATTAATATTAAGAGGTCTTTTCCTCAGCAAGTTTTTGTCTCAGAACTCCCAAACCATTGAGTTTAACAAAATTGAATATTTTTTTAAGAAAATTAAATTCTCTACAAAAAAGGTAAAAGTGAAATTTTCTGTCAGATGAACCATTTCCTTAAAATCATGCCTTAAAAATTGGTATAGTTTTACATTTTGATCTTTTAAATTGGAATTTTGTAATTCATGTAAAAATCAGTATCCATAAAAAAACGATAAATTTTCTTATAAGAAATAAAATGCTTTACAAAAAAAGCCTCTTAACATTTTTGCCTAAATTCACTTAATCAAAAGTTATTCAAGGGTAAAATTTCGTTTTGACTTTAAATTTAACCTTGAATAACTTTTAATTGAGTGAATTTAGCCAAAAATGATAAAAGAATTTTTTTGTAGAGAATGATTTCCCATAAGAATATTTATCGGTTTTTTTCCGGGTACTGATTTTTACATGAATTACAAAATTACAAAGTTAAAAGATCAAATTGTAAAACTATATAACTTTTTAAGGCATGATTGTAAGAAAACGGTTCATCTGACGGGAAATTCCACTTAAACCTTTTTTGTAGAGCATTCAATTTTCTTCAGAAAATATTTTTAAGTCAAATTTGTTAAACTCAATGGTTTGGTAGTTCCGAGACAAAAACTCACTCAGGAAAAAAAAATCTAAAACTGCGATGATAGACCTCTTTTTTTTTCTAAATTCCAAAGTCTAAAAATAATTTATAATAACCTTTATCGTACCAAAAAGTACGCCACTGATGGACTAGGAACTTTAGGTTAATCTGGTGGATTTATTATGTTATGGTTGGTAACAACAGTTTTTCCAAAATCTCTCAAAAAAGTTGACAAACATTGTTTAAATTTAGCTTAATTACAAAAATGACAAAATTAACAATGCAAATTGTCAATTTGGCGTTTTTATTAATTGTTGGTTATTTCATTTTTGTACTGAAGGTAAATTCAAACAAAATCTGCCAACTTTTATGACAGAATCTAGTGCATTTCTTTTAAATTTTAGGTTATGTTTTCAAATTGTAAATATCTTAACTAAGGGAAGTGCTTTTAGATTTATTTACACAAATTAAATGTTTAAAGTTTAACCTGTGAACTGGTCCCAATTTCATCTGAGTAAACAGAGAAAAAAACTGATGAAAAAATTAATTTTGTGGTTATGGATTTCAAATTTCAAAGGTACTAAAGTTTCTAATCATTGCTTAAGCTAATAGCTGGATCAGTAAATAAATACAGAAGGGTATTAGAGCTTTAAGGGCATAAAACTTTTGTATTTATTGAGTTTTTATTTATTTTTTGCAAGAAAAATGTTTAGTAACAATTTTTTACATCTGGCAACGCATAGCTACTTTGTTGGTTGGTATCTATGTACTCACAAAATACAGGTGTGCAGAGATAAACAAGTGTGTAACCAGTGGCGTATCACAAAAAATATAAAAAACTTCTAATGCATATTTTTTCTTTATCTTTGGAAAAATGTTTTTTTAAATATTTTTCCTTTATTCCTTATGTCAAAAGGTATTCAGTATTTTAATATATAACATTAATTACATAACACCCTGTATTTTCGATATAATTTACAAAAAAAAATAGTCGATTTTTTTGGCCCAGTCTAATAAATATTATAAAAAATATAAAAAACAAACTGTATGCTATTATGCACTTTTCAAATATTTTGTACACTTCTCTACAAGTCAAAACCATCTAAATTTAAGTGGATATATAGAGTATAGTAGAATATTTTCGGTTAAAACAAGAATTAAAGATACCTATATCTCGAAAAGATACATTTTAATATATTTTTCTTATAAAATCCTAAAAATTAAAAATGTATTTTATATCTAAAATATCATCCCCATTTTTTTGTTAAAATCTTTCTTATGGGATGACTACTATGTTTTTAATTATTCTTAATTTTTACTATTGTACATTTTAAGTTATTGTCATATGTCACTTTGACAGCCACTTATATTTTTTTAAACAAAATAAGGCAACTATTTACTATCAATCAATTTTTTTGTTTATTATTTTAGCAACAAAACCACCTGTATTTTCAGTGGGAACACATACATAGGTAATCAAAAAAGGGGTTCACAATTTTGTTAAAACAACAGCAATAGTAGATAAATAAAATAAATAAATAAATAAAAAGGACATCACTACACACCATAGCATGAGAAGGGGGTTAATCCTGAATGCAGAGGGCGCACAGTGTGGATATAATCGAGCCGCGACACTTAGAAGGACATCGCACCGTGCGAAACTGAGAATGTGTGTGTGAGCGAACTGCAACGCACCGTACAGAGTAAAGGACTGTCGCTCGGTTGACCATTAACGTTAACAAGAGTAAAAATTTTCGAGTCGGGAAAAAGAAACCCGAACCGAAAAAACTGTATCGAGCTGTTCGGTTTCCCTCTCACCTGCATAACGCCGCCAGCCGGTGGCCTTTCTCCTTCCGTTGGCGGTCCCCCACCCCCAAGTAGCCGGTGTCGCCTTTGTCGTTACCTTGCCAATCGTGCTGAAAGCTCGCCTTAATGCACAGCAGCATGTCTGTACACAAAATCTTAACCACACGGAGAGAAAAGTATAACACGGTGCTGTTCTGAGAGGTGATTTTTGGACTTTCTGTTAAACCTAATTTTTTTTTATATTCTTGTTAATTAGGTCATAACTAAAATTTTAAGAGCAAAATAAAAAAAAATTGACGGTTAATTTTGTTTTAATTGGATGTTTATTAAAAATATGTATGCACACTTTCAATTCTCCAATTAAAACTTGCGATTTTATTTAAATATTATCATAACTTTTTAAATTAGATTAAAGATTAGTTAATTTCCTAAGAAAAGGTCTATACATTTTTTATATCTTTTACTGTTTTGTTGTAATACACGTTTAAAGTTTTAATTTAAGGTTAAATGTATAGTATACATTTATTAAACAATAATTCTAAGGGTGCCACATTTTATTAAGGGCCGATTTATTCATTTTTGATTTATTTGACGAATAATTTCTTTGGATACTAGATATTGCCAAGACATGAAAGTTATCGGCCCGATAAACTTTAAACCGGTCCTTGGTTAAATTTCATGAATTTCTTCGTAACTTTTACTACAATTTTTCATTTTTGTTTATAAAAAACACTTTAAAAAACTAAACAAAAATTATAGAATACGTATACTGAAAATGACAATTCAAACATCAAATAAATTTTTAATAGATCTAAGTTTCATGGCAACCTTTAAGGATATATTAATTAAGGGAACATAAATGTATACGTCAAAGGTTAGATTAAAAGTTTGAACGTTTATTGCAACAAAACAGTAAAATACATAAAAAAAAATTGTAAAAACCTTTTTTTTAGTTATGCAAATATTAAATATTTAAATTAAATCGCTAGTTTTAATTGGATAATTGAAAGAGTGCATAATATTTTTAATAAACAGCCAATTAAAACAATTTAAACCGTCAAATTTTTTTTATTTTGGTCTTAAAATTTTAGTTGTGACCTAATTAACAAGAATATAAAAAAAAATAGGTTTCACAGAAAGTCCAAAAATCACCTCTCAGAACAGCACCGTGATAATGCTGATTACCATAATTATAATACCCTTTACTATAATTTATATTACTATTTGGGAGAACTATCTTGTATATTGCCAGATACTATGCATATTTAGTAATTTTTAAATATCCATGTATGTTAAACCTAAAGGTAAAATATTATTTATCTTAACCAATTTTCTTTTTAATTCTTATTATAATTAGATTTTCTTCATTACTAATAAGTATAGTAAATTTTAAAATATTATGTTGCCATTTTAAATATAGAATATTTTAAAATCGAATTTTTTTATATGTTAACAATTAAAAATTGTAACATATTTATTGTACTTTTTAATATACAAAAATGTTATGAGAAAGAATTGAACCTACACCTCGCCAAAGTTTTTTGTTTTGAGAACGTTCCATCAACTTCAAATACCGACAGACAGGTGTTTTGACCTTTATTGGGTATCATCAGTGTCGACACGACACTGCCGAGCAACTTGTACTAGTGGAACACACCCAAAACAAAGAAATACCTGAGCTTATATAACATGGTTGGTAAGCCAACAGAGGCGAGATGTAAGAACATCACGTGATCCACACCGCCTAACGATGCGTCGCGACGTGGCCTTTGCCGCAATCGGTACATACTATGCAACCAAGTAGGTTCAATTATTTCTTATAAGTATTACCAGTAATGGGTCAAGAAAGTTTATTGAAGAAACTAAGAAAATTGAATGTTTAAAATGTCATGAGTTACTATATTGTACATTATATTTAAATATATTGTTTATTTACCTTAAACATAAAAGTAGCTTTATTTTTACTATATTTTTTTATTAATGTGTAATATATTATAATATTAGATTTACACCTTACATTTGATTAAATCATATAGTAAATATTACTATTTGTAGATAGTAAAATCAATTTACTATACGAACATATTAAAAATTAAAATATATATTATACATTTATGATTTAGTAATATTGGTGTTGTAATCTTTACTACTAAAATTGTATAATACAATTTTGTATTACAATCTTAATATTGTATTGACGAATATATAATATTGTTACCCTAAAAATTTGTTAAAGTAAATTTACTATATTTTTTTTACTATCGAATATTTACTATATATTTCTATCCGTGCAGATTTTATGTTAATCCAGGTCCACATAACTTTATGTTAAGTTTACAACCAACTGAAATCTGTAAACTAATTGAATAAGTAGTTTGTAATTATAACAAACATTTTGTAGATTTAATAACAAAATCCTATATTAACAATTCAAGCATATTTCTTGTAATTTTTACAAACCTTTTTGTAGATCCAGTAACAAAAGTATTTGTTGGAACTTGGGAACTTAAATGAAAAGAATTTCGATAAGAAATGTTGATTTATTAATCAATTTCATAAACAAAAAACATAACACATACCTACATAAATGAACACAAAAATAACATATAAACGATTAAATAACACACCACTCTAAAATCATCAAATTATAAAGAAATTTGGTACAATATAATTATCAGTACTACTACAACACTTACTGATGAATTTTGTAATTTTAACCCACTTCACGGGGTCCCCTAATTTCAGTTTAAAAACCAGTGATGGCATCTTTTTTTACTTTACACTTCGCACGCTCGTTAAATACGAGGTGTGTTCAGAAAATATCGGGAATTTTCGCTTTTTGAAACAAATATTTATTTAGTCGTCTACATTAATGTTGTCGCCTTCAAAATAGTCCCCATTGGATATTATGCACATGTGCCAGCTCTTCTTTCCATACTCGAAACACTTCTAAAACTCGATCTTTGAGATAGCCTTTAGTTCTTTCAGCGATGCGCTTTTAATGTCATCTATGCTTGCAAAACGACGGCCCTTTAAGGTTCTCTTTATTTTTGGGAATAGGAAAAAGTCAAACAAAGGCATGTCTGGCGAATATGGAGGCTGGGGCATCATTACAGTATTGTTTTTGGCCAAATATTTTGTTCAAAATTTAACAATTTTGGAACAAATTTTGCTGCCACGCGTTTCATACCCAAAACATTAAAAAAATTTCATGGGATGAGCCAATCGATATACCAACATCATCAGCGACTTCTCTGATGGTTTATATCCATTTCTTCCACTTTTTCCATGTTTTTATCGGTTGTTAATGTGCTTGTGCGTTCGGGGCGTTCGTCATTTTCAACGTCTTTACGGCCATCTTGGAAACTCTTATACCACTTGTAAACTCTTGTTTTACTTATAGCAGACTCACTATAGGCCTTTGTTAACATTTCACAGAATTTATTTAATTTTTTAAGCAAAATTGGATACAAATGGATCAAAGACCATTTCTTTTAACGAACGAAAATCGCCGAGCTCATAAAACACGTCTAACCTTAGCGGCTGCCACAGACAAAGTAAACAACGAAAACAGCTACAGTTTTTATCATACTTCGGGGGCATGTATACCAACATAATAAATAAAATTTTATGACAACCGGACCTTTCGAAGCCGCGAAATTTAACAATTCCCGTTATTTTCTGAACACACCTCGTAGGTATAATGAGTCCGAATAACAATAATAACAGATTTCTGGTAATATATCATGAACACTGGACAGTTGTTAAGAACACGTTACGAATTGGAATAAAGTAAGCAGAAACATAAGTTGCAGACGCTGAAGTCAGTTGAACTTGTTAATGCGTATGGGCAATGTTTTGCAATGTTAATGCGTATGTTAATGCGTTTGGGCAATGTTTTGAAACTTTTGGTAAAATATTTTCCTTTAAAGGAAAATGTTAAAATAATTACAAACCCTACAAACTTCAAACTCATGTTAACAAATCTAATTTTTATAACAGTGTAATGGTTGTGGAAGCCTGTGGTTAACTACAGCCGTTGACTAAAGGATACAACTAAAAATTATCCTTTTATCATTTTGTATTTTGATGTTTTTTTTTAATTTTGAGCCTACTAAAGAAGCATACATGTTTACATTTAACCTAACGAGCCTTGGAAATTTTAGTTTTGTTCAATGTTTTTTATGCCTTGCTTTCTTTAAAAGTATAAATTAAATTTTACACAAGAATTATTTCACGAATGCATATAATTTAAATGACAATTTGTTAAACTAAATTCAGGCAAAAAATTAATAGTTTATTAGTAGTTTATTTATCATTGGTACCTAATTTACTTATTTATTTATTTAGTAAAGGGTGATTTTTTAAGTGTGTCCGAACTTCTGACAAGTGTCGCTGTCAAACAAACTGTCAATTTTCATGCATCTAGAAACTAAGTTACTCAGTATAGTGTGATGGAACGTTTAACGCTTGCAAATTGTCGAAATTTACCATCAAAACCATTGTTTTGTGCGCCAAACTTATCGTACTTTTCGTGAATTTTATGGTATACATACGCCCAATCGAGCGATGTATTCGCCGAATCATCAAGAAATTTCGAAAGAATTTCACGCTGTTAGATATTAAAATAAAGACAAGAACAAAAACAGTGCGTTTCCAAGAAAATATCATCGCTGTTGCCGACAGTGATGAGAAAGACCCAAATTTGTCAATTCGTCGACGTTCGCAGAAAGTTGGGCTTTGTTATTGGACTACGTGGGAAATTTTGCGGAAATATCTTTATTTTCTTTGTGGTAATGTTAAATCTTTGGTTAATGTAAATAAACCAGCAACTATCTTTGGTTAATGTAAATAAACCAGCAACTATTCAAGACTTGGAAGCTAACATATATGTTAGCTTCCAAGTCTTGA